ACTACTTGGTGACGATGATGTATTGAACAGTAAAGAGTATCATTGATATCGATAAACAAACCATAACATCCTGAACTGACATTCATTACCGTAACAAAGATATTTGTTTCTGCCATCCATTTCTGCACTCGACCGTTCTCAAATCCATCATCAATATAAATATCACCATTTGATGTCACGAAGATAGAAGAAGGTTCTTTAAAATTACTAGAAATGATCTTTGTTGGATTGACACTATCTTCATGCCATATTACAATTGTGCTATTTTCTTGATTAGCGACATGGATTGTGTTGTTTGTGTTCACAAAAACAGCACTAGGATACAGACCAGCAGTCCATTCATTAGCAATGGTAATTCCATTGGAATTCCAAGTAGCTGTTGGAGAAAACTTTGGCAGATTGAATGAAAGAGCTAGAAACAAGAAAAATAGAAAGAATACTAGAGGAGAACTGTAAAACGAAATGAAATTATTAATCTATATTTTTTTCTCAAGAAAATTCATTCAGATTCAATATGAAAAGGTTTCTATAGTTGTTATTCTATTTTGTTGGATGATTTGTAACTATAAACTAACAGAGGATTAAATTCATCGAAGAAGATTAGCTTTATTTATTGATTTTTTGTTGTAAATGAAAATAATTATGTTCGATCCTTTAAAGAATATGATTATCATTGAAAAAAATAATCATCAAATCATTTGAATTCAATCTACCATATGAAAGAGAGGAGAAAATTCTCTTGCTAATCTTTAATTAATTAAATAACCATTCGAAGAAATTATTTAAGAAAAATATTTTGTGATAAAAATAAAATGAACATATTCTTTTTTTTCCTCTTAGTATTTCAACTCGAATATTTTGAGAAAAACTTATATGTATTTGACAGTTGATTCAAATCTTGTCTTTTTTAACAATATTCTTTCATGATAATCTAGTGATAAAAATGGTAGTGTCAATCATGAATTTGCACTTGCAAAACAGTTCTACGTTTTCATGAGATTTGTGCTCTTTCTTTCATTCTGGTAGATGTATTCATTTCTACAACTGAAAAGTTAATATTTTCTCATAAGTAATCCTGTCTCTAAAATCTTGATGAAGAATATTTATCATTTCATTGATCAATCAAATTCATTTCTACGAGATAATTTCATATGTTCTAACAAAGATTGTTTCCTTTTGTGCAGTTTAAAAGTTTTAAAACTTTTTCATTTTCTATACGAATGAATAATATAACTATATAGAAATAAATGATCTACTGGCTATATCTCGCTTCTGTTTTTATACATAAAACTCTCTGAATACATCAAACACAATATAATTATTTTATTAGTCATAATATTTTTTATATAATAAATCTACATCTTATCTCGAACCAAAATAGTCAGATATCTTTAAAAAACTTTGTTTTCATATAAATTAACCTGTTGATCTTTCCTATTTGGATTTAAATTTCATCTGAAAAAGTAAATTACTTCTTTTTTTTCATATGTTATAGTGCGATACGATGAGATAGATTTCTTTCCTTTCTTCTGTGTCTCATTCTTATATCAAGATCTACAAATAAATTCGATATCGAGAGGAGATTCCAACAATGTCTCGCATAGACGCCGCAAGAGATCAGTACCATCACTTTTAAATATATAACAGAAATTCCTATCAAACTCTATAATCTATTATTTGACTCCCTTTTTTCAATTAAAACTCTAATGAATAATGTCATTTTTATCCAATAGTTGATCTTCACTATGTGATAAATAAAAGTATTTACCTGATACTTCATTGTTGAAAATGAACAGAAGAATAACGACAAATAATGCGTAGATATTCCACACCATTCAACAAGATTTTTTTTTGATGAATCTATAGTTAGCTAATAAAATAACTTTCTTTGTCTTCGATGAAAATAAAATGACACTCGTTGTAGATTTTCTCTCTAGTTATATATCTCTCTTTCTCTCTTATTCATTTCTTCCAATATAACACACAAAGAGGAAAACTAGTGTTCTAGAGAAGGTTTTATCGTCAGTAAGATAAAAAAATTGATTTTAGATTGGATTAATGAACAAAATTGATCATTTAATTTGATTCTTTTCGAAATTTGAAAATACACAATGGAATTTAAATTCGACATGTTCCCTCTCTCTTTTTTTTTGATTTTATAGAAAATCAAAAGATTTTAGTGAAGAAGAACGTGATGAAAAGAAAGAAAAATTGATCAAAATCTATGGTAATTATCGGACGTGTTTTAACTCAAAATAAGATATCAACTATCATCGTCAATAAATCATTGATGTCAATGAATAAGTCATGATTAGTTTGATGTCTTTTTTTATTTAACTCTGTTAAATAATCTGTTTTGTCAAGGCTCATTTTTAGTCACGTTCTTTGTTTTTCTGTGCGCAATAAGTATTTTTGTGATAAGTTTTCTTCTTTAAGTATTTCGATCTGTTTTGGAATAAGAACTTATCAGATATATAAGAAGCAGAATTATTCATCGCGGTGTACGATGTATTTCTCTAAGAGACATGAAAAAGATGCATGAGGGTGGGATGTGGGTGCGGATGAGCGTATTGTATTTCATCTACACCGGCTACCGCACACCTACACCTTCAAGATGGTTGCTTGACTTAGATAAAAACAGAATGAGCATTTTAGACACATCATACTGAGAGTATTCCTCAAGCTAGTATCCAAAATGTATGCAGACTAGAATATACCTGGAATATTTAGATTCTATCTTAGACATACGATTGAAAGATTTAATATTGTACGTAAATATTACAAAAAAACAATAAACTTAAATGTGTTTAGAAAGTAAAAATTTGATAGAGACGAATGATTTAAAAATTGTTCATCAAATGAAAAACATGTCATATAAATCACTAAAAAAGTACTAAGTGACGCTCGAAATTTATAACTTTTAAACCTTTGAGTTCCATCTTGAAGATGGGTGTGGGCGCGAGGGTGTGTTTAGGTGTATCTTGTTTATCTCACACCCGAGATAGATGCCCCAGGTCGAAACGGGTACATCGGATCAAGCCGGACGGGTACTAAATCCGTTGTGATACAGGTCACCGGGTTCGGTCGGATATACATTGTCGGATTCCGACGCTGTCCGTTTTTTTCCTTCCATATCCATAAATCGGATCCCTCAAGTTCCGATCGAAGTCATAAATTCAGAACCGGTCAAATCTGATTCCAGAAGGATCTGGTGTCAAGAAACAGTCGGAATTTACAGTTCACATAACACTGGATTTCATACTCGATCCGTTCAGTTACAGCCATCGGAAATTATTGGTTCATGTAGTAATCCATCGGATCCTTACATCGGATTTGTTTGTCTCAAACGGCAAAGATCGGACAGGATTCAGTGAAGGTTCCATATCGGAAATAGCCAGAAATTATATATGCAACTTACTCGAATGGGTATTAAATTTTGTAAAAATTAATATTTTTTACATGGATTGGAAATTTATTCTGGTATGTTTTATTGAGCAAAATAAAACTAAATAATCAACGTACTGGTAATTACATCAAATATGATAAAAAGTACGAAATTTAAGTAACTATCAATAGTTTCAATAAGTCAAAATAACGAGTTCTTCAATATTTAACATTTCAAATACGGTAAAAAAGGGTAGTATTTCAAACATTAAAATTTTTTTCAATAATAGATGCACGCGAACTCAATTCATAATTTCATAGGATGTGGGTGTGGATGTGGGTGTGAGTATTATCTTCATCTAACACCCACACCCTCTGATATTAAGAATAAACATACATGTGAAATAAATCATACTGGCTCATCAGGTATTATATCATTCACAAGTTTTTATTTTAATTATGTCTTTTAGGCTCTATGGAAACAGTAGGAATGCATCGTTTATTTTCATGATCCGAGAGAATGTACAATGTTCAATATACGAAGTAAATAAAAATATTTCTTTCCGTTTTCCTTATAGTATTTAATTGTAGCTCTATTGGAGACGGAGATTCGAAAGTATTTTCAAAACTAACTAGCAATCCTCCGTATAAAGATGCATCCATACGAAAGATAGAAGATGTCAATCACTTTTAAAAGAAAATGTTCAATCGATTACAGAAGTTAGCAGAAGATTTGAAGGAAACAAAGATTGATGGGAAACTTGGTATAGGTGGAAAAGGTCGAATGACCACACGTTAGTAAATTCTGCTTCTGCTCTATCTAATTACTTTTTGTCTTCTAGAAATAATGATTAGTTTTAAACAATATTATCGTCAAGCTATTGTGAGGAACAAAACAAATCTAAATGAAATGGTTCGCTCAGTGTGGGCGATTTGGAAGCACAAAGTATGAAAAACTAAGAAGAATTCTATGATAGAAAATTTTATTATAGGCTTCATCAAACAAAGAGCCACATCACGAGTGGTGTTCATCAGAATATTGTGGATATTTACGATCATTAGAAAAAGGTAATAAAAAATAAACACTTCTTTAGATTTTATTTTATATTATTAGACGAAGAATACGACCATAATCAACATCGACTACCATTAGGAGTTATGAAAGCTATTCGACCAGTGTTTGATGAGAGTCATCAATGGTGGTTCTCAAAATGCTAACGAGAGTTTTCATGCTGTTTTATGGAATTTGATACCAAAGTATAGATATGCTACTGGTATTGTCATTGATTTATGTGCAGCAATGGCTGTATTATGTTATAATGATGGGAGTCAAGCAATTATACCATTTATCACTGATATAACAGGTAAACATGTTTTTAAATTGCATCTAAAATACAGTATTGTCTCTATTTTAGGCGGTGGTGGTGGTTATTATACGAGAGTAGCAATGAGAAGACTTGATGAATCTTGTGTATATGCGGAGCACAAGAAAAAAACAAAACAAACTAAAGAAACATTCGATTTACTGCATGTTGATCGTATGAGTCTCGATATTATTGATGACGACATATTAGACGATTCATATGTATCTGGAGCTTATTGAATCTTTTCTATTGTTATTTTATGTGTTAAAACTTCTTTATAGAGTTTCCATTTTTTTCTATAAATCTTCAGAATTTAATGAGTAATTTCGATTTATGTTACAACGCCTTATCGCGTGCACTTGGTAAGAAAAATATTATTACGCCACCTGCTCCAGTCAAAGGACTATCCCTTGATTTGCCTCAGGATCAAAAATGTTGACAAGAAACTTTCAATAAGCTTAATCAACTGATCTTCAACATTCGACAACAAAAAACAGATGTTATCTTCACTCTGAAAACATTTGTTGAACTTTTCCGTATATAATTAATGTTTTTTCTGTTCTTTGTTCATTTCTTATAATTATCTGAAGAACGTGTTACTTCTATAAAATCACCAAAATTTATCAGAAAATAGGGTAGTAGGGTCGACTTTTTTGCTGATAAGTCTATGAAAATTTCATTGTTTTGTGAAGACCTATATATATTCGGAAAGAGGAAACTCAGACGCATCTTTCTATGCAATAAACTCATTTTCGATTTTTTTTTTTCGAAAAAGTACTCTTTCTAAGGGTGAGGACCCCCTTAAAAAGTTTCAAATTTATTTTGTTTCATCAAATAATGATTTTTGTTGGACGGATATGGATAATTGTCGACAAGATTTAAATTATGTACCTCAAGATGGTGCTCGATGGAAGTGAACGCTCACCGAAAAACAAATTCAATTGACTTACTGCCTATTCTAATGTTTGCGTTCATAGGTAATAACTTAGGTAGTCTGCATGTATCTTTTCAATAGATTTTAGCCTCATCTGCTCCTAAAAATCATTGAGTTATGCTGATTTTAGCAAGCAAAATTCGTTTTGCAAAAGTTCCGTTGAAGAAACCACAATTATCTTAAAAACCCACACCCTAAGAATTTCTAGAGGTTTTTCGAGGAATATTTTCAGGTGCCGAAATTTTAAATGTATTTTTATTTTTGTTTAACTAATAACAACTACTAAACATATAACTAAAACTGCATAAAAAGGGCAGAAAAAAAACAACAGCGAGAAAAATAAAAAGTGCGCATACAATCGAAAAAGTGTAGCAGCTAAAACAGACCCGTGAGGCGCGCCAACATTCATTTTTATATTTCTTGAGTTGGTATCGCCAAACGAGATTGTAAATGATCTGTCCAATAACCATGAATGTATCCACTTCAAGAGAGATAATGGCATATCGAGCTCACTTAGATTAGTGATTAGTGCAGGAAACCACATGCGGTCAAATGTTGATAAAAAATCAACAAATATTACAAGTGCTACTCTATTAAAAGCAGCAACTGTGGGACGTAGATTTTCTACCACCAAAAAAATTCTAGTTTGACAGTGTCTTCCTTTCATAAATCCACTGTGCTGGGAGCACCACTTTAGAATTCTACGATGTATGATGCGTTCGTACAGTTTACCTATATTAGGAAGTAGTGATATAGGTCTTAGCTTATTTTCTGTAGAGTATATTCCCTCCTTTCATAGACAGATGACTTTAGCTACTTTTTCAGCAGCAAAATAAAAGCTGAGTCGTAGTACTTATTCTTCGAATAGTAATCATTATTGCCATCAAAACTTACATCGCTTTCACCCTAAAAAATACAAAACCATCTTGAGGGTGGGTGTGGGTGTGGGTGTGGGTTTGTGATTTATATAATGCCGACATTCACCCATACCCACCCACACCCACACCCATCAAGGTGTCTCAAACGTCATCACGTAAGTGCCAACGCTTGCTGATTCAACGTCACTTCACCTGTGTATTGACTTTGTGTTATTTGTTTTGGAAGCTGGAAAAAACCCACTGATGGCAGATATCAAAGTGCACCAATCTCCATTTTCTTATCAAATATTTGCTATGCAAATGAAGGCCGCTGATCAAGCATACTGTATGCAAAGACATTGTCTTTCCGCGAAAACAGAACAAAAGCATGTGTCTCAATTAGTTTTTCTTTTGTTGTCTCTCTTTATGGTTGAATTATATGATGCAAAAGACAAACTGTATCATTGTCATTACCATCTTAGTAGTAGGTGTGGATGAATGTATCACGTCAGTTAGACATTCAATTCCACACGCACACGCAAACGCACACCCATCCAACAAGAAGCTATTCGTCGGTGGGTGTGAATGTGGTTGTATGAGTACCTTTAATCTGATCCACACACACACATATGGTAAGTAAATAAAGCGATACAAATGATGTCTTCTATACTTTATTTCGATCGTATTGTAAGGTTTTTAGAAGCGATGATATAACAGCTAATTTGCTAATGTCGCTGTCAATCTGAATATTATTCTCATCAATTTTCGTCATCTTCGAAGAGTTTATAGAGGGGACTAGTGGTTGCCAATTTGTAATAGAGTGTTTTCGTTTGATAATAATCATCTTGTAATTGAATGTGATCGATTACATCTTGTAATAGACGAGCTCGTTCAACTTCTACACCACATATTCGGTTTGCTAAAGCAGTAAAATGAATATGTAAATGGTAATACGAAGGTGGATAGTGAAAAAATGCACGAATATTCTTCGATGATAAGCCATATTTCGATGAAAAGAAATTCTATAACAATAAACAACGCTTTATTTTCTCCTCTTCCACTACTATAAACTTTTCTTACCATAGACTTTTCAAGTACACTCTGAAGTAAAGGCAAATGTTCGGATTTAAGATCGCGTATACTACGAATATTACGCGGTTTGACAATGGCAAGTGCATGCAGAGAATCATTTACTGTCCCATCCCAAGAAGGATTGAGTGCAAGTAGAAAATCGCCAGTATCTAATAAGACACGTTCACGTTCTGATTTACCATCTAGAACATTGTACACCCACTGAAGATTAAATTGTTGTTTTTCAATGTATGGTAAAACAATTGTCTCGTATCGACGATGAGTTTCAGTAACTAGAGCAAAATCTTTCTTCGAATATTTTTCTACATGTAATGGTGTCGCCGGATAAATGAATGTCGATTTCACATCTGCAAAGACCGAAAATCTCATTAAATTTAGAGTTAAGTCAACAAATACATACTGTTACAAGCTGATCGCGCAGCAACTGTATACTGACGATAGATATCGTTGGTAAAATCGACTTTGAATTGTTGTTCATTGTCCTTCATTAAGGTAAGTACTTCCTCAAATTGGAACGGTACCTTGTCTAATATCAGTATACCTGATTTGGTTGTTTTCTCGTCACCTTCACCTTCTTCAATTTGACCTTCGATCACAATACGTTTCGTTTCTCGATTCTCATTCAATACTCGGACATTCTTGCTCATTTTACTCCATTCTTCTACGGTTAAATCGTGATTTGCTGTAGTCATCTAAAAGCATCGTATAGATGAACCCATCGCTTCTTTACGAACGCCCTCACTCTCATCTCCATCTTGAGGCTGGGTGAGAGCAGTGGCGGATTTAGATGGGGGCGATCGCCCCCCCCCTCTGAATTTTTTTTTGATTTTTCACAGCAAAAATGAACGAAAAAATAGGTTCACACTACTTCGGTTGGACTCAAAAAATAGTTTTTAAGCAAAATCGGCCCCCCCAAGTATCGCTCCTCCATACTCAAAAAAAAATCCCCCACCCCCTCACCAGGTATCGCCCCTCCATGCTCAAAAAAAAATCCTCCACCCCCTCCCCAGGTATTGCCCCTCCATACCAAAAAAAAAAAAAAAAATTTCGCCCCCCCCCTTCCAAAATCCTAGATCCGCCACTGGGTGAGAGTGGCTGGTGGAAGCAAAATCCACATACACTCACTAGGGAACAACCATTGTTTGATTATTCTGGACGATATTCCAGAAGATATTGAACAACAAGGTTTTTCGAAAAACAAAAGTAAAAGTAGCAATAAAAACACATACACTGGGCACTAAATAAGTTCTTTCATCCGGTTCTCTCGAAAGACTTGGCCAATAACCAACTATAACCCAGGGTGTGGGTGCGAGCGTGGGTGTGGATGTGGGCGTAGGTAGATGTGGGTGTCAGTGTAAGTGTGGGTATAGATATTATCTTCAGCGATCATACTCACATCAACACCCCCAAGATGGTTGTGTTTTCGTGATGGGTGATCTCTTGCTCTAATTGGGGTCGAATCAACTTCCATCGATAGTCAGTTTTGACAAATTCACGTTGCGATCCGGTCAAATTTTCAAGTTAATTAGCAAAAATAGGCACTAACAAATTATATAACACGATACGCAGTCATATTAATGTTATTAAAATGAATTCGTATGACAAAATGAATAAAAAAAGAAATGTGAAGAAAGAAAGTGAGATTTATATAGGCATCCGAATAGCACACATTTAATCAAGAAAGAAATTCTACAACAGCAACAACAACATATATGACGTGTAAATTGACACATAAAGGTGAAAAGATAAGAATGACTTTTCGACGAAAAGCATTATATTTGGGAGAGAGAGCTCGTAGCTTCATACTGGGCTGATGGTGTATGGGTGTGCAGTAGCCGGTGTAGATGAAATACAATACGCTCACCCACACCCAAATCCACACCCACCTACACTCACACCCTCTAGTTGCTCTGTCTATTTTGTCCTTACTCTGTTTCGCGAGAAAAATATAATATATTTGCACAAGATACTTGTATAGTTGCTTTCATTTGCGTAGAAAAGAATCCGATAAGTAACCAACGAATGCCATCTTGAGGATTCCACTGCGGTTATAGGTGAAGGTACGGATGTGAGTGTGGGTGTGGATATAAGTAGAGTGCACCCACACCCACGCCCATGCCGACACCCACACCCACGAAATTTGGAGGAGTTTTCCATTGTTTTTGGACAGGGTTTATAAAACAATCCGTGGCAGAAAATCTAGTTGTGGATATAAGTAAAGTATAGATGTAAATGCCTTCGATTTATGAATTAAAAAAGCAACTATTTGTCAAGATCGATTTGTTCGACCAATCTGGAGAGAGTGAAAGTGTTCAGATAAGGGATTGACCAAACCGGCGTGATTCGTTCATATTGTCCGCATTCGAGACATGCTCCATTCCATTCATAGTCATCTAATGAACTTTGACATCCCGAACACTTTCCATCTAATTTGGTGATACCTGACCACCACTTATCCACTTTGCCTTCCCGATAACGTTGTACGCATTGTCGCCGAGCTGGAACTATTTCTAGTGTTGAACAATAAAAATCAATTGGAAGTCGAGCTACTTTATCCGGTATGTGAGTTTCGCAAATTCTTTTCCAGGTCCATGCTGGTCCACTAGTTTCTTGAGGACCATCTGGATATAAGCGAATATTGATGTGCAGAGTCTCTGTTGTTGTTTGAGTCCATCGTGTAGTTCGAATTTGTTGTTTGATATCTTGAAGAAGAGGCTCAAATTGAAAATCGGCCGGTTTGGTCACATGTAAGGCAATGAAATTAGTACCACGTCTGTCTCCCATTCGATGATCACCAGAGTGCACTTTGAGTTCCGAACTCCGAAAAACAGCTTTTCTCAAATGAACATTATCAAGCGATGGATGAAACAAATCAAATTTATTTTTAAGTTGCTCTGGTGAGTGATTCGTAGAGAATTTGACAAGTGTACTCTGATAATAGCCGTCCCACACATCAGGCAAACTATAACCGTTTTGATTTGGTGCAAGCATGGCGAAATACTGGCTGAATGCGCCAAGTCCTTTAAATCGCTGTTGCCAACGAGAGTTGCTACAGACAAATCCATATTCGACTGGATCGATACGCAAGTTAATAGCATATTGATATTGTTCCTGATGATTGTTGTTATGATTTGTTTCTCTTCTAGTTGCCATGTTTTTCTTTCGATAATTATTTTGACCGACAGTTTTAATAAAATTTCAGTATATATGTTTGCTATGCAAAAAAAGACTCGCTTGTTGTTTTTATTTCGATCGTTGCTAAACAAATTCAAGTTGTATTTTTTTCTTTTTCTCGTTCTTATGCTTGTGTTTTGGTAATCAAACAATGTAAATTATTCTTTTCTGTTTTTTCCTAGGACAAAATTATTACCAAGAGAGAAGAACCGAATGCTACTGTTAAAGCAATGTTTCTGTTAATTATTTTTCTGATTGAGAGTGTAAGGATATGGATGTGATTGAGGATAGATGAAGAGAATAACGGCATCCTCATACTCACATCTGATATTCCACACCCACCCAACTATTATAGCATAGAACATTTGTCACACTTTCATTTAGATGTTCTGAATATAATACACGAATTGTGTGAATTCTCGTATTTTAATCTCGTACAGATTTTATTGATTGCTTTTCGAATCACAGTATTCCTATTTACTAAGTAAAAATAGACTCAACAGTTTTATTTCAATTTCAACAGCACACGTTGAATGTCTTCTTCGGTATCAACAACAGTAGAATCCGTAGGAGATAATACTTCTCGATAAATGATGACTGCTCGTTCATAAAATGACAATGCATCTCGGAAAACACCTTTCTGTTCATAAGTACGACCGATATTTAAGAATGTGCTCGCAATAGTTGTATGTTGAGATGGAAGAGATTTTTCGAAGATTTTGAGCGACAGTTCATAGTGCTCCAATGCGAGATCATACTGACCTAGAGAGTAATAAACATTAGCAATGTTGTGATGGGATTTACCAATGTCAGAATGATCACAAGGAAGATTTTTCTGAGAAATAGCCAAGTCCTTCTTGTAAAACTTGAGTGCATCCGAATAATTTCGTTGTGTCTTGCAGATAATACCTAGATTGTTAAAACATCGAGCTACAAGTAGACTATCTTCCCCTAGTGCTTGTTTCCAAATCATTAACGCCTCCTGGTACAATTCTACCGCTTTGTCTAAATTACCTTTTTTTCGATGAATATTGGCAATACTGTTGTAACTGTGCCCAAGACTAGGATCATCCGATTTGAGTGTTCGCTTTTTGATTTCGAGCGATTTAGAGTGCCAGTCGATACTGGATTCATAATCCTTCTTATCATAAGCTACGTTACCCAGTCCCCAATAGCAGCGAGCAATACCTTCATGTTTAGGAGGCAGTTCATCGAGATATCGATAATAATACTTTTCAGCTTCTTTGAATTTATCCATTTTGTGAAGTGCAAGCCCAAATGAATATAAGCTCGTTTCTTTATCACCGTCTTGAGTTCTCATATAATCAAAAATTGATTTTAAATCATTATCATCATCACTGCATAACGTCATCTGAATGTTCCATGAATCATCTACGTTCCGAGAAATATCATTGAGCCGGAAGATCGATCCTAACATCAACAACACCTCTTCTTCTTTTGGGTAGTAGCTCAGATTAGCTATCTCGGCAAATGGCTTAATACCTGTCAGTTGAGGATCGGCATCAATTTCAAATAATATTCGATGCTCATCGTCAGAAATCTTCGAACGACAAAGAAATTTAAGAGCTTGTTCACGATTAAGAGTGGTCGAAAGTAGAGAGTTCATGGAAATTAATTGTCCAATCGAAGTCCTTAGTACTTCTAGTTCTTCATTGGATATCAACTGACCACGATAGAGACGAACAAACGATAAACATCGACACTGCTTGAGTTGTTTCTGAATATCACGAAGAAAGAATCGAAATAGAAAAATTAGATGAATATCCTGAACTCGAAGAGCTTTGTTTAATAATTTATAAACAAATGAATCTTTTGTATACCACCATATCGATCGGTCAGGTGAATAATCTTTTTGAAAATCATGAATATTGTTTAGTTCGCGATTGTTGTTCTGATACTCCCTAAGACAGAAATCGACAAGTTCTTTTTTGTCGGTTGGAGTTGATTTCATTCGTAAAAGGCAATCAATAAGTATTTGTGAATGTACGAAATGACCATTGAGTTTAGCTGTTGATTTCTCTTGTTTAGTCTTTGCATTAAAAATGTCAATTACAATTGGTTCGTCGACTTTATTTGAGATTTGTTCGACTTGATTTGAATCGATCGAAGTGATGAGTTCATTTAAATGAATAATAACACCTTTTATCTATAATACACAACACTATCTTATGATATGAAAGTGTTTCTAATTACCGAAAATGTTAGTGTAAAAGTGCAGTAAATAAATTTTATTGTTTAGAGTAAATATGATGGATTTTTTTCTTTAGTCTGATTGAGAATGATTGATTACTCGCTAGGATAGTGACTGAGAAGTTTCTGTGTGATCAATAGACTGTGATCTATTTTAAGTACTTCTCAAGTCTATGCGAAAGATTCGTATCAGACCTTGTAATTGTTTACTGAATAGCGTATTACTTACTCGAATGCATACAACTTTTTATAATCCTAAGAATAAAGGTACACGAATGAAAGTCTTATCTTCACTCCTTTTTAAAATGCATACACATCACATTTAATCATAGTGCATCATAAAATCAAATCTTGGAATTAGTAAGACCATTTCTAGTCAGAACAGCTTGGATAATTCTTTTGTACTAACAATTTAGAGCAAATGTGTCACACATTCTATGCTCAAATTATGCACCACATCGATCTAGATACAACAGATGAACATTGTAGTTGACATATGTGATGAATTTATCACGCTATTGAAATACAACTGAATGAAAGACAATGCTTATTGATGTTATAGAATAATTAACAGACGCGCAACTGTGCTAAATCCTTCGGTCAAGTACATAAATTATTTTACCTTGCTAAATGTATTGGCCCATAATTCGTTTCTTTGTTTGTCCATACAGTAAACATAGATCGAAGCTATTTGTCGAAGTTCATGAATTCGGGGAACAAGTTGTTGACCTAATTGACCACTAACAATTAAAACAATTCGATCTTGTGCAGAAACAGATCGAATACGTTGCTCACATTCATTGATATGTTCAAATGTTTCTAGGTGATTGATTAATGAATGAAGTTTCTGTTGTGCATTAATGTTTCTCTGAGAATTGACTGATGCATCAAGCCAAAAAAGAGAATATGTTTCAAGGTTGTTGTTTACCATCTCTCCGATCGCCGTGTATAGAGTAGTTGACAAGAATGAAACAGAAAAAAGCAAATGCTACCGTCTTCTGTTGTTGGTTAAAACATTACTATTTGTTTGAAAAAAAGGAACGTGGCCAAATTAAATCATATGAAAAGAAAAATTGTCGTACACATGATGTGACAAGAAAGGAATATGTTGTGCAACGTCAATAATGAAAACGACGAAAGCGCCCGTATTATATTTATGTAGAAACGAAGTTTGTACATTCGTTGGGTGTGGGTGTGGGGCAAGGGGGAAAGTACGGAATCCTGGAACCTTAGAAAATTCATTTGAATCCAAGAGAATCCTGCTGCAAGAGATTTCACACTTTTTCCAAAATTGAGAGTGTCTGTAAGGGTGGGTGTCTTTATTCACTTTTTTTCGCATCTAAACTCATCCATACCCACACCCACACCCACACCCACCCATGCTCAAATCCTCATTAGCTACTAGAGCCCT